AAGTGTTGTCACCTGATCAATTAATCTTTTAGTATTAAGATCTACTAACAAATTGTGAAAACTTAGAAAATCTGCACCCAATATAGGTTGTCTAACCTCGGCTAATACGAAATCCCAACGAAAATTTCGTCTTAATTTTAAATTTAAAATCATATTTCTAATGCCATAAGTTTTAATCTCAGTACCGTTGGCAGCATAAAATTTAAAATGGTTATCTGGTTTTAACTTATTTATATTACTCACCGGTAAAACTGAAATATCGGCACCCGTGTCCACTAAAAAATTATAACCACTGTTCAAGTCCGTAACACAAAGGCGGTGGGTTGGAGATACGGCACAGATTTCCGCCTGTGGCTGCACCGGTCCTAGTTTTCCGACTTATTTTCCCAAGCGCAAGGTTTTACACATTTCTTCGCGTTTCCTGCGTACCGGAAATGGTAAAAACACAACCAATTCGGGTTCCTCGTCGCTGATCTTGTAACGCTCCTGCCTCGTCCCGTGTGCGCGCGTTGATTGCGGTTGTTGTTTCGGGATCTGTTTTCACTAGTTCTCTTCTCCACTTGCGCAAGTCTAGTACTCAATTTAGCGATTTCCGCTAGTATCGTATTTTCTGAAGATAATGACGATGGTTGAGGTTGTTGATTAACCTCAGCAATGGAATTAACTTTAATTGCTTCAAATACGTCATCCGCGACTACAGCTAATTTATCGAGGTCTTTGTTTTCTGTGACTACCAGCAAACTACGTACCGTTGTTGGTAACAGGTTCTGCCAGAGCACCCTTAATGTGTCATCAGGTACTTTGTCACGCGCCAAATCCTTCATGCGACGCAACAACTGTGAAGGCTTTTGATCCCCAAGTTGCATTTCACTGATTAATTTTTCAATCTGTCTATTTTTAGAATCTTCATAAATAGATATTAACTTCTTGAGGGCTTCATATTTGTTGGTTTCAGGCGGGTTAATTAAAAAATCAGTGACTTGGCTTAAAGCGTCAATTCCTAGTTTTGACACTACCAAATCAAATTTTGAGGCGTCTCCTAGTTTTTGAGGTGCCAGTACCGCTTCAGTTCGTATAAACCACATTCTCGGCTGATGCGTCCAGAACTCCGACATTCGCGAAGCTACGGTAATCGCCGCAAGGTCAGGAATCGACATATTGTAGTTTATATGATATGATATTTCACGAAATTTACACGGAAAAGTTTTCGCGGGGTCACCAATTTAGAATGTTGGTGTGTATTCTTATTTAAATTCACTTGACTCCAGAATAGTTCGTGTATTCAATGAAAGTCCAAAATAAAATAGGTAAAACTTTGTGTTTATATTGTTCTAAGAAATACACAATTCACAACTAATCTATAATATTACAAAATATTACTGGTTAACACCAAAGTTGGGAGACGACTGGCGTGCTAACGCTATAGGGTCGCAGGCGCAGCTACGCACTTGAGAACACATAAAAAATGTCAACACGTTAGTGTCGCTACAATACTTTTCGTGTTTTATAATAGTTTATGAAATATGATCACAAAGATTAGGATCCCTCCCTCCCCCTTGTCACACAATGTCACACTTCGTCGTCCCCCTCCCTACCCCTTAACGTGTGACGTAATTTATGGTCGGACCCCAATGTCTGTAAAACATCGTAACGAGTACCGATATAATAAAGTTTTATTGTAATTAAACCAGTGAATACGCCTTTAATTTAACAC